TTCAATTTCTGTAAATGCTGGTTTAAGTCGATCAATTGTGATGTTATCTGTCTTGCTTCCGATTTGAAGAGTAAACTATATTGGAAATCTCTTGATCGCTCTGTAAGGTCCATGAAACTTTTGTTCAAGAGGTTTAAGTACACGATCATGGGGACATACATTCAATTCCTTGTTGATAAATACATTTGAACTGCTCTTATTTGAAGTTGTTGCTGGTTTAATTCTGGACATTAATGTTTGAAGATGTAATAGAAAATCATCTGAATCTAGAACGACATTACTTTCGGTGAACATTTGACCAGGAACATGAAGTGTTGCGCCATATACCATTTCGACTGGAGAACAAATAATAGTATCTTTTACCGAAGTTCTTAGCCCAAGCAATACTAAAGGCAAAGACCTTGTCCATTGAGTTTTGTTGTGGCATATCAATGCGGATTTAAGAGTTCTGTAAGGACGTTCAACTAATCCATTCGATTGTGGATGATAAGACGTTGAATGTTTTAATCGAGTTCCCAATAACTTTAATAGATTCCCTGTGAACAATATCGGGAGAACCAAAACGAGATACCTAGCCATTTAAGAAACTTTGGGACACAGTTTCAGGTGTAATATTCGGCATTGGTATTGCTTCCATCCATCGGGTAAGTCGATCAATCAAATCAATCTACTTTAATGGATAATTCAGCAGCACTAACGGGATGAAATAACAACACTGCATTTGATAAGCTTGACTTACATTGCGAAAATGATTTTTCCGCTTCCTTAGTCCAAATAACAGGTCGTTTATAATTTTTCACCACATTCTTGAGAAGTTGGTTTAGTGGGGCTTGTTCTGTCTCTGCATTAGGTAAAAACCGTCTATAAAAGTTTACCATTCCGAGAAAGCATCGTAAGTCCTTTATAGTCGAAGGCTTAGGGATACTTTTAATTTCGTCAACTATGCTTCGGATGGGTTGCATTCCAGTTGATGATATTCGGAAACCAAGGAAATCAATTTCACTATTACCGAAAGAACATTTACCGTGATTGACGACAATGCCATATTTTTGAAACCTCTCAAAAACAATCTTTAGATGCTCCAAATGTTCAGCAGCCGATTTTGAAAATATAAGGACATCGTCAATATAGACAAATACAAAAGGTAAACCACGTAGTACTTCATCCATTAAACATTGGAAACTTTGGGCGGTATTTCGCAATCCAAACGGCATTTTGACAAATTCGTGTAAACCAAATGGAGTAGTGATAGCATCTTTCATCTTTCACCAATGTTGTTATGCCTAGTGACGGATATTTAGAAATTTTCGCTGAAACTTGCAGATCAGTTTTGCCATCAATTAATGCTTTACGCTTAAGATCAGGAAGAAGATGAAAATGTTTTAAAAAATCAGAACCAATAATGGGTTTTGTAACATCTGCTATAATAAAGGTCCAAGAAAAATTTCTCCGTAATCCAAAATCTATATGCATAATTTTCTGACTGAAAGTACGAATTGAAGAACCATTAGCAGCAAAAGTTTTAATACCACAGTCTGACGTTTTTGAAGTCTTGAAACTCGGAGGATTTACAGACACATCGGCACCGGTTACAATTAAAAAATCTCTGTTGGAAAGGTTATCTTTAACAAAAAGGCGACACGAGATACCACTGTCATCTGGAATTGTCGCAACTTCCGAGTGGTCCTCTAGTTTTTTGAGAAAGAGCATGGGGACACAAAGGCACATTTATAAAAAAATTAACAAAACTTATATTTGGTTTTTGAAAGAAATACAAGAACTCAAAAAATTATAATTTAAAAAAAAGTATTTTCTTGGCAATTTAAAATTCAAAGAAGAAGTGATGAAAGTTTACAAGTACAAACATTGTAAAGTGTGCACCTACAAATGTATTCATACTTGTTTTTTTTATCAAAAACCAGCTGAACCCGGCGCGCTTCGCTACCCCTTTTGATTTTATATGCATTCAAAATTTTATTTACGAATATATGTTGGTTAAAAAAAAAAAAAAAAATAAAAATTAAAAAATAATTATTGCACTACTTTAATGCGTAAATAACCAAAACCATTAGCAAAACAGGAACATGACATACATACACGAAGGGTTTGTCCTTCGGATTTATTTATTTCATAGCAAATACCAAGCGTGCAGTAAACTACAATCTTTTGAAGTTAAGTGGCATTTCTATTGCAATTAGTGAATTCGAGATAGCAACATACTTCGCCGTAATAATCGTATTTCAAATCAATTGTTGTGTTGTTTTTTAGTGTTAGACTAAGGCGTTGTGGGTCAATGGTTCTTATTAAAATCATATCCCAATCTGATCCGATTTAAATATAATTTAAAAAAAATACTTTTACACAAACTCCGCCACACCTTTCATATTTCATTGAAATTAGTGCGTCAAATATGTGAAATCGGCCGATAATATATACATGGGAGCTATATCCAAATCTTAACTAATTTCCAATTAATTTGTCACATTTATTATTGTAACCAAATTCCGCCACACATTCTGAATTTCATTGGTATCGGTCGTATATATCATGTTTGGTGCATAACATGTATGAAATCGGCCGAAATATATATATGTTAGCTATATCCAAACCTCAACTGATTTCAATATAATTTGGCAATTTTTTCTGGTGCCAGATTTTGTCTCTCTCGCTTTGGGTGCATCAAATATGTGAAATCGGCAGAGTATATATATGGGAGCTATAATCAAATCTGAGCGTATTTGAATATAATTTGTCAAACTTATTTTTGTACCAAATTTAGCCACTCATGCCGAATTTCATTGGAATCGGAAATGCGTATCGTGTTTTGTGCATCAAATATGTGAAATTGGCGGAAAATATATATGGGAGCTATATCCAAATCTGAGCCGATTTTAATATAATTTGACAAATGTATATTTGTTTTAATTTCCGCTACACATTCCAAATTTCATTGAAATTAGAGATACATAGCGTGTTTGGTGCATCAAATACATGAAATCGGTCGAAAATATATATGGGAGCTATATCCAAATCTGAACCGATTTCAATTTAATTTGACAAATTCATTTTGGCTCCCAATTCCGTTACTTATTTTAAATTTCATTACAATTGGAAATACATATCGTGTTTGGTCCACCAAATATATGAAATCGGCCGAAAATGTATATGGGAGCTATATCCAAATCTGAACCGATTTCAATATAATTTGACAAATTTATTTTCGGATTAAATCCCGTCACACATTCCAAATTTTATTAGAATCGAACATTCATATTGCGTTTGAGGCATCAAATGAACAAAATCGGTCGAAAATATATATGGGAGCTATATCCAAATCTGAACCGATTACAATATAATTTTGCTAACTTATTTTTGTTCCAAATTCCGTTACGTATTCCAAATGTGGAGACCGTATATTCAACCAATCAATACATATGTGCATATAAAATCTAAATTTTTGGGAGGTACCTCCGATTCTGATGCTATATCTCCAGTTCCAAGTGGAAATTCAAAAATGTATATAGCCTATGTTACTTTCAGTATATATGGAAATTTTCAGGAAAATCTATTCAGCGGTTTTCGAGTCCATAAATTACAAACAAACAAACATACAAACATTTTCCTCTTTTATAGATATAGATATAAATTTTTTTACTTTGTTTTGAATATTTTCCCCAGTAAAATAAATTTCAGCTCATTTTGTATAAGTATAGAAAAAGGTGATTTAATTTGCGTCGCGATTCTCCGGTCCCCATTAACGACGCAAGTCGGGGCTCTAGTGTATTGTGTTCATCACATTACGCCTCAATTACAGAAATAATCGAAACTCCCGACATTGTGTAAAAATTAACAAAATTAACTTTCATTCACAGAAGAAACTCTATTAAACAGAATATATTTCACAATTTCCACTTTTACAGCGTTTTCTAATCATGTGGTTTGTTTTGATTCGTCATTTATTCGCTCTTTTAATCCTCTAATGTTGTCATATTTAAACTGAATAATGAGATTTTCGTAGTTCACCCATTCGATCGGAATCTGACGAACTAAAACAAAACGGATCGATTTTAAATTACGGCTCCAACCATTTCGATTCGATTTTGTGACATGTCCGGCTGTTTATGCAAGTATCATTGAAAAATGAGATGGCAAATATCAATATATAAGACATTTGTGTTAGTTACTACGCTTATAACTCAAGAACCGCTAATATGATTTAACGATTCAGACAAATTCGTAATTTTCTCTTGGCCGAAAAGGATAAAATCCAAAAAAAAAAACATTTATTTTGACTTTTTAGATGTGCAATTGTAGTGTTTTATATTGTATGATTTTTTCCATTTTTACTTACTATTTTCGAATGTACATTTGTAGTGCTTTTTTCTTGATTTCTTATATGTTGTGTAATCTTTTTGGGGAGTATAAAGCGACAATGGACAATTCTTTAATTTATAGATTTTATGTATTTATTGGGTATGTGGAACTAAACGAATAATATAATTTCAGAAGAGGATAAGCTATGAACAAAAAAAAAAGAACAATATTTTGTTATGTACGAACGGGTTTTTTCAATTTGATTAACTTTATTTAAGTGTCTTGTTTCATGAGAACTGAAATTGCAGGATACTTACATTGAAGTGTAGTACCGAATTACGTGTTGGCGAAACTAAATCGAGAAAAGTTTTTCAATCGTGCCGAATATCAAAATCAAACAGTACATTCTATTGTCAAACTTCGTAAGGACCTTGAAACATTGGCTGTAAATGTACCAGCAAACAAGTTGAAGATTTTTTCCTCTTCAATTTGTATTTCTTTTTTGTCAATTTTATATAATGCACGATTTGTTTTCAGTTTGGGGTATCATATTGAATTTAATCAAAATAAAGAATATTTTCACAATATAAAAGAAAGAAATGTAATTTACTACGCTTATAACTCAAGAACGGTTTGACGGATTTAAACAATTCATACAATTTCGGATTCGCGAGAAAATATGGCAATTTCATATACTATATTGAAGTGTTCATTTTTTATTGTTTAGAATTCTAAATGAATAATACAAAAAATGAAATGAGTGCGCAATACGGTATTAAATAGCGATCTTTACTTGCCGGCAACGCCGACCGGGCCAGCTTGTTATCCATATAACAGCTTGAACAGAATTTGTTATTTACGATCTCTTTTACATTTTTAATTTAAACATTGGAATTTACAATCATACGTTTCATAAAATTCGGATAAACTGCTGTATCCAGTGGAAAAATATATATTTTTACTTTGGAACAAAATTATAAACTACAATGTGTAGATGTTCGTTACAAAAAACCTTGTGTAGTTCAGCAATTACTTTATTCCATTCGAGGCCATCGATACCACATCCTATACGAGGTATAGCCAAATTTTCAACATTGTTAGATTTCTAAAATATAAAAATTAACAAGATAATATCAATATATTCAATTTTGAATGTTTACCATGTGTTCTCGCATTGCCTCCAGTGAACTTCTTAATGTATCATAAGTCGGTTTGTCCCAACTTTGTTTTTTGGTTACCAAATAGTATATGAATCTCTGATTATCTTTGAGTGCAGCGACCCCGCCACTTTGTACTCCCTGCGATAGTAGTTCATCAACTTGTCCATAGATTTGCTTAAATTTCACTGCAATTCCGGCGCCCATACCAAAATCAGCTGCCACACAATGGGCTAACGAATGTGACTCTGGGGCACTGAAGAGGTCGCCATCAACTTCTGTTAACATAAACTTTGTTTTCGACATATATCTAGAGTTGCAAAGTAGACTGGGTAGTGGTTGATATTGGATGCTTGCTGTAGAAAAAATAAAAAAAATTGACACTAAAATTCAATTTTGGTGTTGTTGAGAAAATTTTACATCTATCTTAATTTTTTGATATTTTATAATAACATCCTGAATACTTTCGTATTTGAACGTTTTCGTTTTAGTCTGGTTTTATGACAATTTGAAAAGATTTTGTTATATTCCAATAAGCGTTGATATGCCAGTACTTTCACGACGATTATTTTATACAAATTTAGAGTTCTGTTCTGTAAATGTTAATATCTACTGGAAAATATGGCTTAAATCATGATGCAATGAAACTTATTTAGAACACGGCTACTCATCAATTCTCATTTTTATTTATAAGGCTTAACATATCACATTTCGTTGTGTTTGTGTGTGTATAATTTTGAATTATATAGAAATTGTTTACAAAATATTCAAATTCTTAGGAACTTCAAAGATTGTATGTACAGCTTTTACCCATTTTGTGACGAAATTACTTTTTAAAGATATAAATAACATAACATGTAAAAGAAACATTGGCCTTTCATTAAGTTTTTAATATTACAATCCATTCATGTAGGTTTCTATTCTTACAAATTTCTCAAAAATATTCCTATTTACTATATAAAAAACTGCCGATTCTTCACTACATAGAAATATCTAGCAAAATTATTTGTGAAAAAACTGTGTGATTTTAACATAAACTGCTTTTTACGATGATCAAACTAGATGATGAAATATTATAATATTATTTCTCAACAAAATGCTTGATATATTTGCATCTTGTTGATTATTATGCCTGTACTGATTGCCTCTACTGACTGCATTTTATAACTTCATTTATAATACTTTAGTGTGATACTATTAATTGGCTTGGAGGCCGAGGTATTAAAAATGGATTAAATAAAAAAGAAAGAAAATTAAGAAGGTGCATGACTTTACCTATGTTCACAATTTTTTCCAAATTATTCGTTTGACATCTCATTGTCTAAATTTATAATTACAAATCCATGGTAATGGTTCCCATCTATGATTTCCATATATAAACAAAAATTTTGACAAAGAGATGATGTCAAATGTATAATTTTGAGAAAAAAAAAATTGTAAGCATTCGAGTTTGTAGTTTCTTCATTTCGCCTTGAGGCTATTACATTATTAATAGTTTTGTGAATCCACAAGGATATTGTTCACAATTTTATTTTTTTTTTTTTTCGAAAACTAGTTACCGCTAAATTTTTAAGATTCAAATAAATGGTCTTTTCCAGAATTGCAAGAATGTAATAGTTTTTACTACGATAACCGAATTTCCCTTTATGATATCGACAAAAATTGCAAAAAAGTAGTTGCTTGCAGGTTCTGCAACAGACCAATATTGGACAATTCACATTTTTTTCAATAAAGAATAAGATAAAAATATTTCGGTAACGTCCATACAATTTCATTTAACATCCAATTATTTAAAAGGTTTTGACCTTTGGTTAACTTAAATGGAGTTACGGTCCATGTGTAATTGGGTAATGAGGCCGTTCAAAATGTTTTATTTTGACAATCAATAGAATTGTCAGAATAAAGACCTATCATTACAATAATTGCTGACCTTCGTGGGAATCAATGTTTTTATTTTTGCATTTCACATTTCTCCTTTGTAAATGTCTTCACTTCACATTTTCATAGAACTGTGATTGAGTTCCTCATAAGAAATAATGGGGTGTTGTAACAATAGAAATAGGACGTCTTTCATGTTGATATCTACATATAATTGACAATGGACCGAATCCCTAATTGTGACGTCTTTACAAAGGATCACGCATTTTAAAAGATTTAACACAACAGGTACACAGGTAAGGAATACTTTTGTCCATTGTATCGATAACACTACTAGATGAATACCTGTCCATAATGAGGAGGCTTACATCGATATTTACGTATGTTTGAAAAGGTATAAAAATCAATGCGCAGGTCTCATTCTCAAATGTACAAAACCGTCAAATGATAAGAATTAAGAGAGAGCAAGCAAAACAAATTGCCTATGTACATTCATTTAATGAGAAAAATGCGAATATAATTCCATGTGAATATTTTGGGGAGTTTTTCCATTTGTCGTATTTTCTTTGAGCACAACACAGTATCAGCTCGTCGTTGTTAGCAGTAGTTCATGGCAGTTCATTTGAAATAGCTGATCAAAACAGCACGCACGGAGTCGTCATTTAAAAACCTTTATATTTAGTAGTTTGTTATCTGTTTACGGCGAATACACTATAAATTCCATATCGCAATTATTAGTGTTGTACCTACCAAGGAGGTCCAAATAGCCATAAGAATTTGTTAGATTAGCATTGCTTACGTAAATTGTTCAACGTCAACGACTCCTTGTTGTAAAGCAATAATCTTGTTTCGTTCGCGTTCTTTAATAATCGCAACAGATTCCGAAAACTCAACATTTATGAAAAAATTGAATCAATTATTAATTTTTTTAACATAAAAATAGAAACTGAGAAGAATAACAAACGTCCAACACAAGTGCAAAAATAAAAGGTGACATCTATTTGTTCGACTGCATCAGCTGACGGCTGGTCAAAGACAGGAGAGAATAGATTTGCCAGCAGTTAAATCCACCACTATCAGAGAGATGGCATTTTCAAAAATATTCACCAAACTAATGATTGCAAAATCTGGCAGCCGTGGTGTCCAAACTAGATTACTTTTAAAGCGCTTTGACAACCAGCAACGTTTTTATGCCGTTATATGCTGCACTCATATAAAGCGTTCACCGGTGTTAGATCAACAAAGGAAGAAATGGGGTAAGTTTTATGAAAAATGTGCACAAAACGAGAAAAATTGTTTTGCAGATTTCAGAAAACTTAAATACAGTAGACTCTTTCACTACCCAACATACCAAAATGTCTTGAGATTAATATTATAATCTTAAACTTGAAAAAATCGTGAGAAAGCATTGAAAATGTTTGTGTGACAAATATAAAATACTCGATATTGAACATTTATTTATAAGCTTATGCTTCCAATTGTAGAATAAGCTTACGAAAGTGAGTAATAGTATATAATATTTATTTTTTAATTTTCTAATCATTTTACACATTTCATTTCATTGATGACCATCCCAGCTGTTACTGCCTTCTGTGGCCTTGATACCCAAACGCTTTCGTTTCCCTTATTTGAGCTTCCGCATCTCCTCCACAAATATGACACTTCTATTGAATTCCTGCAACTTTTTGATGCATTCAGTCTGAAATGAGATTGAAATTATATATACCACATATTCTTAGATTTATTAATTATTATTTATTAAGTGTTTCTCAAGCATTGTTACACAAGTATTATGACAAACTATTTTTATATTTTTCTCTAGCTGTATTGCCGGCTAATATATTTTTGGTGTGTTGAGTATGTTGTGCTCCCGTACATTGTTCAATATAGTACTATTTTTACAATTTTTACTTGAACACCTGTATGCATGGTACAATTAAATCAAGATAACCTCATTTAAAAAATAATAATAAATAATTACCTTGTTACAGCATTACCTAAAATTAGACGTAGCGTACACAAATTTTGAACTTTGTTATGTGTGCATTTGCTCGGCATACGATTAGGCCATCCGACTGTCACAGAGACTCCCAGGGCTAGGGATCTCAACCCGCCAATCGAATCCAACACACTAACATTGAAAGGGGACTTTACTACAATTGCTCTACTCTACGATATACAAAATAGGAGTCATCATACAGGGATCTCGGTGGATCGATCCCACACTCGCCCACCCTACCTGGATCCAGTATTTCCATTTCTTGCGTTTCTCTGAATCCCCTTGAACCACACGCTTCGAATCACACACTTACTTCATACCACCTTCCCCCCCAAGTTATACAAATTTAGCAACACATATTAGTATCTACTGTTTACAAAAGAATCATTTTTAATTTTATTAAAAAAAATAAGTTAGCTTTAAATATTTTCTTAATTTTTTTCTCTACTATTTTTTTTCTTACACTAAAATTGACAAACTGTATGGTATAAAAAAAAACAAATTAAGAATAATACCGGGCTTTCTTAAATCTATGGCTTTAATTACTCGGTAGAAACCAATATATTATCCTTTGCCTTGCTTTTCCCGCGCAATATTCACGCGTCTATACGAAATTACTAGCCACCTAAAAGAGCTCTCTTAACCGGCCTAATTGCCGCTAAAATTCCACGGCCTAAACTATCAGATCGAATCACAAGGACTCAAGATAATTTTACTGTAACACCTCCTAGCCTTTGAAAATAAACGCGGTATTTTTCCCTTACAAACTGATTATTACTTAAATCCTAAGAACTATAACCTATCTTATTACTAAATCTTTATACTGAATATTATATTTTTTTTCTCGAAATTTATGATTATTAACTCTTTTTTTCTTTTCTTTTAGTTCCAAAAAAGGAGACAGCAAATTTTATGGACGTCACATATATATATAAATATATCTATCAAGGACAACACAACGGTAAGACACCTTTTACCTGAGCAGTGATTTATAACGTTATTGATTAATTCTTCTTATCTCTTCTTCCAGTTTACGCTTCTTTCCGGAGGAAACAGATTTTGAACGCCAGACAAACCCTCAAATGAAGCTGGACTTGTTGACTGGTCCTTTTACAATGCCGGCGTTCTGGGCGGGATCAATAACAGGCACAGCAAAAAGCTCAAAGTTGCAGCTGGCCAGTTTACAATTCAAATCTCCACACCCTCAATGTAACTTTTTTTGGCTTTTTTTTTCCTGTGGACAACTTGCCACTACCTTGCGTTACCAAAAAGAAAAGGCAATTTCCCGCCGTTGTGCTGACCAAAACCGGACAATTTTCGGTGCTTCCAAAAAAGCTTGATACACCACCGGAATATTCCTGTTGGAGCAACACACATCACATATAACAACACATTACTCAACAAACAACTGTTACAAACTACTTACACAATAAAAAAATCGCAACACACAAATTAAATTTTTCCACTTCTTCACTGCTCTCTAGCTAAGTTTCACCGGTAACGTCTTATTCTTAACTTTGGCTTTTCTTATGCTCGCAGCCTTTTATACCCCTCTTCTCAGTGAATCCCGCCAGACGCTCATTTTCCACGAAACACCATTTTCCTGAGCCATTTTCAATTTTCATTCCTTTTTCTTTTCAACTGTCAATAGCCATTTTTTATTCTATTGTGAATTCTCATTTCAGCTCACCCCGGAGTAGTAGTAGGTTCCCACCTACTCAGCAATCATAGGGCTGCCTAGTCACTTCTTAGCCTGAGTCACCCTGTCATTCACTACCTTTATAATACTCTTTAACTCAACCCTGTTCGAGCCTAATTTCGTACGTAGCGAACCCTATCAAACCATTTCCGGCATTTTGATCCCATCGCCACCCAGACTACACACCCCGCAGAAATTACAAGCAAATTGAAATCTCGAAGCATCCTCACCATCCTCACTAAAAACCCAAGAAAACTGAGCAAATCCATTTGAGGACCAATTATGGGATGCACTACCAACAGAATTGGGATAATTTCTGCGGTGGTTGTGGACAGGTTTTGCCAAAAAACCCGGCCCCATATATTTGTTGCCTTTTTGCGCCGAATGTGAACGGCCTGCAACAAAACTTCAACTTCGGCCACAAAATCGAGGACGGAGGTGATGTGCACGGCCGCATTACTCATTTACGTGGGGACATCCCACTCCCTGAAGGTCTCATGCCGGGCATAAGCTCCGAACAGCAGGCTGGTCAAAGCCCTCCCCCTCATGCTGGTAAATATCCCCCATCGAAATAGAACCACATAAATTAATTTATTTTTCTAATCTGTCCATCAGATCTGTGAAACATGTCTTGCTAGTTCGCCTGATAATTCTCGATCCGACACCCTGAAAATATCGTGTCACTACCAAACATCGATCGAGTTCCGAGTCCGGGAAACTCGCTGGTAATTCCCCTATAGCAGGTCAACATTTGGGAAGATCAAAAACGCTCATAAATTTTACAATACGCATTCGGTTATTTATAAAATCCCGCATTCAGTATTTCTACTAAGACAAGTTCAGAGGAACGGATGGGATTTATCGGCCCACTCCTTTGGGACCTTCACTACAAAAAGGTAAACATCCGGAACAACCCAATAATTCTACCAACCCAAGACCTTGTGTGGAGTTGGAATATATTTGTCCTCTCTGGCGGATCTACACTGGTAATACCCACCAGCTCTCAATGAAAAATTCTCCGATTCCATCAAAATTTCACACATTCTTCTTGGTTGGATATAATCTTCAAAGTTGGAATCTATACGTACTTTGATACAAACATAATTTGATCAAATTATTGAAATCATGGTACAATAAAAAGGTAAGGTAGATCTGAAAGCTGATTACAATTTTTTTTCCAAGTGTGCCCGACTTCTGTCATTATTGTGTATTATTTGTTTTGAAAATAAAAAAAAATATTTTCAATGTCAATGTTTGGAAAAACGAACACTGCGTGGCCGGCGTTCAAAATATTACCCTGTTTTGTCCTGGAATTGAAGGATTAAACAGTTTGGATCACATTTTTGAAAAAAAAATCCGTGCGTTCAATAACGCATTCAAAAAAAATAACAATTATCAAAACATTTTGTCGCATACAATTTTGCAGTATTTTGACAGAAAGCGGGCATAGCCCTAGGAATGTATTTCGGTACTTTTTTTGTTTGTTTTGACCAATTAATAACTTTCATTCCTTAATAGGTGGTGAAACATTTTGCATGCGGAAATATTTGTGCCTATGCCTGTCTTGTCGTCGTGGTTGCCGAAGAACGGATTTTGTATGCGGTATATGCTGATGTGATTGATAGGTAAACA